GTGACACCAGTACCTTGGCCACATGAGTCACCTACCCAGACTCCACTTCCTCAGCAACAGTCATTCCCCGTTGCAATGACGCGGGAACAGTCCACACCCATCGAGGAAACGCCCTTCGCGACACCACTGCCCATCTCGGATGAGAAGTCTGTTCAAACAGGCGCGACTCCGAACCAGCACCCTGCCTTGAGGAAGTCAATCCCCGATCGTAAGCCAGTCGTAGCTCCTCAGTCCAAGACTCGCGTCAGTGAGGATCAGGGTGCCGCACCTGGAAAGAAGGTCTCACCGAACAAGTTGAAGAAGAAGGAAGGCAGTGGATTCAGGAAGCTTTTCGGGAGAAAGAAGACCGAGACGCCTGCAGCAGTACCTGCGCCTGCGCCCGCGGATGATTCGTACTTCCAAGCATCCGATGCCGTTCGCAGTACCTCTCGACTGGACGATCATCAGCCCAACGTACGAGAGCCATCGCCGACCTACACCGATGACCATCCGGAGCCCGTGCAGGAACCATCGCCAAACTACGAACCTAGTCCTGCGGCATCCTCGCCCGAGGTCGCAGAGCCGATTCAAGCAGGCGGCCCTGTTGCCGGAGCCCCAGCAACACAACAAGAAATTGACCAAGCCTTCTCTCGATTCGACCAAGGCCCTATGGATGACATGCCTGCTTTCGCCCCTGCTGACGACGAGAGCGAGGACGACGCGGCTGCTGCCCCGACTGTGCCTCGTCGCCAGGTGCAACAGACGAACCCTAGGACCCCAACTCAACGCGCGCCGGAGTATGCGGATGATATTTCTGAGGAGTCTATCGAGTTCACAAAGCAACAATCGCCATCTCAGGACCGATGGGCGCAAATTAGAAAGAATGCAGCAGAGCGCGCCGCAAGGCTTAGCGAAGAACAGGTCCGACGTAGCCGCAGTGTGAGCCAGAGCCAGCGCACCGATGAAGGTGAAACCAGTGGCGAGGAGACCATCGAAAGCCGTGTTGCCCGTATCAAGGCGCGTGTCGCCGAACTTACTGGTAATGTTGATGGCCAGCCGGCAGCAGCAGGATCTGGCGCCGGAAGACAGTGGTAGAATGTGCTTTGGTGAGCATCATGAGCTTCTTCTACTCAGGCCTCGCTAACGGTTCTCCAGATCTTCTTTAGCATCACATACCCGTTCTGTTTTCCCAGCGTACAAACTGCTCGATACCCCTTCCCATTTCGACTTTCTGGTTTTTTTCTTCTACGACACTGGGCATTAATTTGTGCTTTCCACGCCTAAATACCCGTCAGCTTCATACACTTTATGGCTGACAATCGGCTTGCTTCATTCCCTCTGTATCTGTTTCGATTTTTCTTACGTTTTGCTGAGATACCTCGGGAGGAATGTACATCGTTGTCTAGGTACACATCTTTGCGGACATGCACAGTTACGTGGTCATGCATGCTCGATGACCACGATAATACATACCATGGTGGAGACGACGTAGCGTGTTATATGTTCTAGAAAGAGAGACTGTTGGAATGTTTAATTCAAGACCTTTTGCTTGTTTAACCACTTCCATGTGTAAGGTTTTAAAATGTATTCGATCGTGTTTTGGTGTTGATGTTCTCATGCTGATCTTTATGAACCATTTGGAATATAGGTTGGGGGACTGGGTAATCGAGACTTCGATGCAGCCATCTTCTAGCGCGCTCTAGCTCATATAAATATCTCCCTCGCTCACATCAAACTTCTTCTATAACACTGCTTCAAAAAAAAGTTCACCAAAAGCGCTTGCGATCAAAAGGATGAGTCGGAGTCGACGACTCAAATCAGAGAAGTTGAGGATCGATGTCAGCGTCAGCCATGCCAAATTGCTTAGGTTCTACGAAAAAGACTCCATACACAACTGATGGGGCGACCTCCCACGTACTGGGTGTACACATGGCGTCCTTGAAATTTCTTTCCGGAATCTTATCAGTACGCTGTCATGTAGCCAGAAGATACTTGGAATGCATGCATCGGCACTACATCGAGCGCGATCACGTGTGAGAGCACACTAGCGAAGCTTATAAAACTTTAGGGATGTGTAGACTCTCTCTTTCAGCAATTCATTCCCCTGAGGTTTCTACCGAAAATGAAAGCGCGATTCGCGATGTGGCTGCGGTGGCGCGCCTCAAAAGCTACACTCGAAGTTTGCATGGGACGGCGCGATGTGCTTTCTTCGTCATCGTAATTTCGTCTCGTATTTTTTGGGTGTAGGGAGCGCAAAACCACGCGGACCCATAAACGTTGACATGCGTGGTTTTGGTAAAAGGCCAGGGCACAAGGCTTTTGAGTTGTAGGTCTTGGAGGTAGGAGAGAGGAGAACGATTAAGAGACGCTTTAATACTTGGAAAGGATGAACTATGATCACAAGAGTGAAGAATCTAAGACGTAATCGAGATACAGAGACATGATTTTCCTCTATCTCCAGCTTTTGATTCGAGCGTCCCCTTCTCAGTACAGTCTCGGAAACGGACAAAAAGATGCAGACTAGAGGGTGATGTCACTGCGCGTATCATGGTATGTCATCCCCAAAAAAATGGAATCTGCATTTTCGTTCCCAGACCCTAGACTCCACAAGGGCTTCGGAAGTCTCAGACGCTCCTCACTGTACCCATAGAGTCTCCTATACCCCTTACTGAATTCTCTCAACTCATATGTCCGGGGTCAGTTGTATGTATGCAACGCGCAAGCATGGAGTACCCCTATCCAGCGAAACGCCTCATCATAGTGAAGTGATAGGACCAACAACCATCCATGGATCTGATCGATTGCTGTATCGTGGAAGATACGCGCCCAGAGAAGATTTTCGAAGGAATTGGACAAGCTCAAGACGTCGAATTCTATTTTGAACCATCTATCTCTCCCCGCTCTCCTGATAAGTGTGCCTTGACGATCTCTTGTAGGCGCCGACGAGGTGCAGTAGTTGATAGTGAAGATCGAGAAGGCATCGTCTCTGTCATCATGAAGTTGGGATTAGTATATCAAATCTGAGACGTCCAGAAATAACGTCCGAGCAGTGTACCTGCATCTACCACGCGGTCTTCCCTGAGGCACAGGTCTCGGGTTGGGGCCAGAGGTCGTAGTGATTGGAGAAATGAGAATCCTGAGGGCCAGCATGCGGCCCAAAATAACACGAGGTGTGTACCTGCATCGACCAGGTCTCTGGGAGAGGGTTAGGTGATGATAAGAAACAAAGGGATGGTTACCGGGTGGTGTGCATGTCGAACTAAGAATAACAGCCGAAGAGTGTACCTGCGTCTGATAGAGGGGTTAGACGCGCCGGGCCGCTTATTTTCCGGTGGGCGTCGTTTCTTTGATGAAGACGAAGTGACGCGTTGCTGAGTGATGCGGGTATCTGGGATGCTTCAATTAGAACCAACAAGCTTCAATGGAGAGCACGTGGTCGGTAGAGCCGCTGGCCCAGGGAGGCACAGTCGCTTCAGCAGGTGAAGACCGCAATCACATAGACTAGTATCCCAGCGGTGGAGTATACGCAAGCGGAAACACGAGCTAGTAAAGCTGGGGAAGGGACACGATGCCGGCGGCTAGGCGGGTGAGATCATGTCAACGGGAAAACGACAAGGGCGGACAGGAAGTGATAGACGAACAGCAGCTTAGCAATGTGTAACGATCTGGAGCTTTGGATGTGTGGTGAGGTAAGCTGGGGCAGTCAGTCAATCAGACGCGGTCGTGGGTGCGTCATGCCAGGCGTGGGAGTGGGTTTGCGGCATGGCCTTCTAAAAATATCGCGTTTCGGACATGGGAGGCAGCCGCGCTAGGAACCGCGTGCTGCGAGCCCTAATCCAACTTCAACGCCTGGGGACATGGAAGCAGATACTGGAGACGATGTGTATGGACGCTATCCGATCGTCTGCAAGCGACGTGACTGCATAGAGATTAACAGGGAGTGTGAAGATACAGAGCACATGGGTGCCGCGCCGCATCCGGCGGGGGGAGCGGGGTGCCCTCGACGGCTGCCTGTATTGAATGATTGCAATCGCAGAGAGCGGAGGACTCGCTGGCGGGCCGCAGCTCACCCAGGGACTGCCCTCACAGTCGAGGAGGCTATCGTTTGAGAGAGATGATTGAGCCAGTGCTCCGCCATGTGTGGCTAGCAAAACGCGGTCTCGGAAAGGGTGCAAATGGCGCACCGGTAAGTGCAATGCCGCACAAGGAGCAGCGGCCGACCGAATGCCTCCGCTCTGCGCCTATCCCACGCTGGCCAACGTCTGCAGCCTGGGTCGACTCTCGTCATTATCTCTGCAAGCGCCGACTCGCGTGCCCGGTGGTCGTGGCACGCAAGAATAGCGACGCCCGTCTGGTCGCTGCAGAGCCGGTCAGACGGCCCTGCTAATCTGAGAGACTCGAGCAGTGAGGTAGCGCAATGCCGGCAAAAGGCAGCTGTCTCATTCTGCTACTGTACGGCATCAAGGGTCTGTTCTGCGCGTGTGAGGCCGTTGGACCCCGGCCCTGATATGTCCCTAAAATAACTCAGCTGGGCGTCGCAGGTGGAGTAAACAGCCCAAGTGCAGTTAGCCGGCCCAGCGATGATTGACGTACAGATTGCACACCCAATTGCAAGGGCACGGCGGACGTGGCACGAAGGTCCAAACCGAGCAAATAAGCTGTAACCGGGCATATTAGCGATCGGATGGCCTGGGCTCTGCAGACGCCAGATTTCTAAATATAGGGGCGCCCACCCACTCCATCATCGTTTCCTCTGCACATCACGTTCAGAGCCTCACGCTTCCTGTGAGTGCAGCAACCGACCTTTGTGTCGCGCATCACAGCCATATAGCCCTGGAGTCGCGAAAAAGAATCGAGCATCCACCGCGCCGATTCTCGCCGCCCACTCCCTCCTGGCCGCGCTGAAACGCTGCACGTCTTCGTGAACACGCCTCTGCCGCGCAAGCTAGTGCCATCGTGCTCTGCTCCTCGAAGCCTCGCCGTCGCTCCATGCGCCTGCCCGTCTAGCATCGCCAGCCACCATGGGTCGCAGAAAGATTGAGATCAAGGCCATCAAGGACGACCGGAACCGCTCCGTGTAAGTCAGCTGCCAGCACCGCGCCCTCACCTGCATCTGCAGCCACTAACCCGCGGCAGCACCTTCCTCAAGCGCAAAGGCGGCCTCTTCAAGAAGGCGCACGAGCTCTCGGTGCTCTGCTCCGTCGACGTGGCCGTCATCATCTTCGGCCACAACAAGAAGCTCTACGAATTCTCTTCCGGCGACATCAACGAGACCATTGGCCGGTACCAATATGTAGGCACACCCTCCGACCCTGGATCGAGAGCCGCGCTAAAGCAGAATGACACTGACAGGTCACGCAGTATGGCGGAGCCCACGAGCACAAGGGTCCAGAGGACTTTATGGGCAAGAAGGACGGCGACGACGAGGATGATGAGGACGACGAGGGCGCCCTGCCCCGGGACTCGCACACCCCGCCCGAGCACTCGATGATGCCCCATCACATGCAACACTCGCAGTTCCAGCACATAAGACACGGCGCGCCGTCCATGTCGCCGCCAATCGGCAACGGCGCCTTCCAGCAGCGAGGGCCCTCCCCACAGCCGCCGCACCACCTGTCGCGACCGAACTCGCGAGTAGGCCACATCCGCAGGCCGAGCTCCAACCTCGCGCCGCCGCAGCCCTACCCTTCGCAAGCCCCTCAGCCGCCGAACAACTATGCCTACATGCCGACCCCGCCCTTCTACAACCCGCAGGCTGCCCAGCAGATGGCGCCCAAGCCCCAGCCTACACCGCCCGCCGCCCAGTACCAGTTCACGCACCCCATGCCCACACATTCTCAAGTCCAGTACATGCAGCAAGAGCAGCAGCGCCGACAGTCTATGCCACCCACCTTCCAGCAGCAGCAACAGGCACAACACCAACATCAGCAGCAGCAGCAACACCAGCATCAACAAGAGCAGCAGGCCCAGGTACAGGCGCAGCAACAGGCTCAGGTGCAAGCTCAACAACAAGCTCAGCAACAGGCTCAGCAACAAGCGCAGCAGCAGCAGCAACAACAACAGCAACAGGCTCAGCAGCATCGGTTGTCTCCACCACCTCCACCTCCGCAAGTGTCCCAGCCGCAACAAGAGCACCCGCAACAGCCCACAATCACCGTTCCGTCCCCGCCACAACAGAACGATTTCCAGAGCCCCCCTCTTCCTCAGCCCAAGCCACTACACGCGTCTGCCAGACACAGCATCTTCACACCCATCGACGATAGCCAGTCCATGCTCGCAGCACACTGGGGCAGCAGCAACAACTCAAACCTGTCTCGCAGCGAAGCTCCCTACATCAAACAGGAGAACCGAGCGCAGTCGATTGATGTGGCCGCCATGTCGCGATTGCAGCCAAACGGGGACCCGAAGCCTCAGGCGCAGCCTCCACAAGCGCCTGTCCAGCAGCCGCCGCAGCGAACACAGTCTACCTCTTCCATGCCCACCATTCCTCCTCCGTCGCGAACAAACAGCCTACGCATGGGTGGTGAAAGCAAGCCGAGATTGAGGGTGCAAATTCCAAGCGAACAGTCAGACGCTGGGAGTGCGACGGCCGATTCGTCTCCCAAAGACTCCGGAACGACAGGTGCAACCCCTGGACGAAGCACCGACGCATCACACTCTTCTGGTGTAGTTCTGCCTCCTCCATCACCAAGTGCCAATTCGCTGCTAAGTGCCGGTGCAACTGGCCCGCCCAACCCCTTCGCTCGTCCTCCGCCGCCATCAAACAGCAACTCGTACGGTAGCCGCGACAACATGGAAACTCCCATCTCAGCACTCCCCAGTCGCTTTGTTGAGAATGGCCTGCTTCCTTCGCCTTCCAGCTTTTACCCCGAGTGGGGTTTTGGCCGCGACTCCAACATGCTGCCGAGCCCCTTGACTTTCCAGACTCCGGTAGCCCCGAACGGACCCAGCTTCGCCCGCGACGACTCTGCCGAGCGCAAGCGCAAGACGTCTGATCAGGGCTCAGATGACGGCAACCAGAAGCGAGTCAAGACTTGAGCAGCGTAGCGGAGCTCGAAAAGTTGTTTTGAAGCGATCTTCTTTCTCGTGTGGCCTCGGCCATGCTGTATTTGTACCCCTTATTTTTATCTTTCTGTTACGGTCTTTACTTCCTGGAGGCCAGCCAGCGATGCTCGATGCATACTATATACCGTTGTTTTTGTTTGAAGGAATTGTAGAACTTGGGTGCAGGGGCGTTGGATACCCAGGATGATTGTCGTTGTTATCATCTAGTATTTTGTCTCGTTTCACAATTTGACGGTTGCACTTGGACACCCTCGGGCGCCCGGTTATGGCATGACGAAAGATCAGAGTTGCGATTTGTACTTCTTTGTAAAAAATATAATCAATGAACAACTTGGACGAGTCCACCTAGACATACAAGGATGCCCCATTACGCAAGCTCTACGTGACTCGGCACTGGAGGGAACGAATGACCTGCAAACCCCACAGCAACTGGCCGAACCTTCGGAAATCGGAACATTGGGTAAGAACACCACGATCAAATTTTGCGCTATGCCATAGACTGATTTGTCGTATCCGCATCGCGGTAGACATTCCCTTGTTGTTGACCGGCACGAGGGCTAGTGCGTCATAGGGCCAAGCCTCCTGCCCCGCTGCGCATATGCCTACCCAAGGGGTCGCCGTTGGTGTCAGCCGCAACCGGGCTGTGAAGGGCGACGTTGGGCTTTGATCGCTGGAGCCGCATCTTACTCGGCTGATCGCAAAGCCTTTGTACGAAACCTACTAGCATCTTCCTGTGTTTGGGAGTCACTTGTCTGCGTGACGATTGCTGCCCGCGCCGAGAAGCTGAAGCTTGGTGTCACCTTCATATATCATCAGCCCTTGACCTTGCGCCATCTTGCTTTCCACCTTGCAAACACACGACGACTCGCTCCCACCATGGCGTACAACAAAGGCTTCAACCCGGACAGGCTGCCTATGCATGCCGAGCCTGAGCAGGTACGTCTTTGCAGTCCCTCGACGCGCCTGCTGGACTGACGTAGACCAGGCTGCTGCGATGATGTCGCAAAACGCATCCGCGGCCTCACGCCCACCGCGCACCAGCTCGGCGCGTCCCGACTACAACAAACCTCCCCCGCCCGTTCCTAGCGGCCAGAGATACGACACTCGTCCCGATGAGCGCTACGGTGGTGGACGCGGCGCAGGAGGTGGTGGATATGACAGCAGACCCCCACCAGGCGCATACAGCGACCCGCGATACGACGGCCGGTACGACGCGAGGCCGGACAACAGAATGGGAGTTGGATCGCCTCCACCAGTCAACTATGGCCATGGACCTCCGCCACAGGGATATCATGGAAGACCGCAGTTGGCGCAGCAGTCGAGGCCACCGCCTACTCCTGCACCGCCGCCAAGGGATGCGAATGACCGCGAAGCGCTATGGAGACTGTTCGGCGCGGTCGACAAAGACAGTATGTTGTAGCAAGTCTTCACGTATACATAATGCTGACGCATGCGACAGAGAGTGGTGAGCTTACAGAAGCCGAGCTGCGAACAGCACTCGTCAATGGAGACTGGACACCTTTCGATCCCCACACCGTCCGTATGATGATCCGAATGTTCGACACCAACAGATCTGGTTCTGTCAACTTTGATGAATTCTGGTACTTGGCCTCGTCCCTCTCCTGACCGGTTCAAGCTAACGCATCGTTTGTAGTGGGCTCTGGGGCTTCCTCTCAGCTTGGCGCAGCTTGTTCGACCGTTTCGACCAAGACCATTCCGGCAGCATATCCTACGCTGAATTCAATGAAGCCCTCATCGCCTTCGGATATCGCCTCTCCCAAGCATTCGTCACCCTCTTGTACCGCACGTACGACCGCGACGGACGCAACGCACTGAGCTTCGACTTATTCGTGCAAGCGTGTATTAGTCTGAAGAGGATGACGGATGTCTTCAAGAAGTATGACGAGGATCGCGACGGCTATATCACGCTGAGCTTGTAAGTGGCATACAAAAGAGTGTGAAAGAAAGCTTTTCGAACGAGTGCTAACTATATCCGTAGCGAGGAGTTTCTCACAGGTGCGCAAGCTTTATTCCTCTTCAACTCGATTTCGGCCTCCACTGATACCGGACTCTACTAGAAATCATCCGCCAGCGATGAGCAGCAGGAATACGTGTACACCATTTACGCAACATTTGGATGCGTTGCCAATCTGGATACTGTCCGACATTTGGTCACCTACGCAAAAGCGAGCAGGACGTCGTCATGGCCCACCCCAAGTGCCATGTTACGTCGGAGTATGACGGAACATCTGGACTGGTATCCAAAAGAGCGAGGAACATGCGTAGTCATGGTGGGAGACCAGGCATACTTGATGAAGGTAATGAATCTAGATACCCGTTTGATACAAACGAAAACATTGATACTACATTCCTCTTTCAAGTTACGTGCTCGCTATCTTCAAGCAGGTCTGGAGACAACATCAATATAAAGCCATGCAAAGTGAGTGACCTAACGTCGATGTAGACTCCACGGTATGACTACCAGCACCTAAACCTCTCTCTCCACCCCCATCTCTCCCTTCCGTCACCGCCGCGGCGACGGTAGTAATAATCATCGTCATCATTGCCTCCAGCATCGTACCTCATCACTCTCAATCCTGACCCAGCGTGCGTATATGAGTGTTCCCGCACGCGACGCCCTCCCTCGCGGCCTTCATGGAAGCCGTTGTAGTCGAATGCGGGGCCGTAGTGAAGTTGTCTTGAAATGCAGTCAGTGCTAGTAGGAAAGATATCTATTTACCAAGACGGCATGAACTACAGTGAGGCAAGAGATAAACTTACGGAGCTTGGTCGTATCCAAAGCCTCGGGGTCGAGATTGGTAGCGTGGCATGATGGGATCTTGCTGGGGAATGGTACTTGTTGAGGGTCAAGAAAGATGATCGTGTGGGCTTATGTTAATTGGAGAAGGGAGGTTGCTAGATGAGTAAGTGGGTTTGCGAATATGGTATGAGAGAGGCTTGTGCTGGATCGTATATTATATAGTACGAAAGAGAAGGACATGAATGTCGGAATGACGATGCATACTTGAGTTGGCATACATCGGTGTCGAGTAGACGTTGTAGTATTCGTGTTACGTATGGTGGACGCACATATGGTAAACAGTAATGACGGTTTTGTACAGATGATGGTGGACAACAGTGTACGTAGGCGCGCTTCACTGAAATATCCTATTGCGTGGCTGATCGATGGCGCGTGCGAATCTCTTGGCCTTGGGGTATGAGAAAAGTGCATGCATGTCAACCTAGGGGAAAACGGAGCCCTCTAGAGCCTACATCGATGTCAGGCCACCTACCTTACATGCTTTCGTGTCAATGTAGTCTGCAGACCTATGCAATGCAAGAGAACAACGGTCGTGTTTAAGTATATCCATTCATAATAAACTAAGGTATACAATCTTCATCGCTGAATCTGTCCAACAACACATTCTGGTATCTGGGGGTATATGATAAAAAACGTTAAGGAAAGACGTGAACTCATTCGTGAGGTCGTGTAAAAAGACAAAGGCCGCTGTACTCCAAAAAGTGCTCCGCATCAACATGACCAATCTGTTAGTCTAGGGACTATATAATCCGCTCTCTTCTCATCTTTAGACCTTGTAGGGCTTGCGAGCACGACGAGAACCATGCTCCTTGCCGCCGATGCAGAAGCTGGCGATCCAGCCAAGCAGCGCGATGAGCATAAGTGCGGTGGCAGCCCATGTTAGGGCAAGGAATTTGCCGCCCCAGTTTGCGTTCAGACCAATGTCGTTGCCGTGCTTATTAATGATATCAACACCCTAATACAACCGTTAGTATATGTCTCACATGCACGTTGTACAGTCAAAACTTACCTTGACCATGACGGCTGTGACGAGGGCGCTTGCGAGGCCGATAGCCAGGAAGGCGAGTGTCGCAAGAAGGAAGTTGATGCAGGGAGTGAGTCTGCCATTTCCGATGAAGATTCCAAGAACGCTGGTGAGGAGCGTGATGAAGATGAGGCAGATTGCAATGACGTAAAGCACAAACATGGCTGCCATGAGCGCGTTGAGTGCATCGATGCCGTTCTGGATGTCATCTGGCCAGTTCAAGTCCTCCAGGGTGATGTCTACGCCCGTCTTGTTGATCGCCTCCTGGATGATGGCCGTGGGGTCGAACTTGTAGGTAGCCCTGCTCTTTGCGCACTCGGTGACGTTCTTGCTAATGTCATCCTGACTTAGCGTTGCATTGGCCACCTCTCCAGGCTCATACTGTCCTTGGCAGTAGTTGAGCATGTGTGCCGAGTACCAGTCCTCGATGCCAACGCGCTCGCGGAACTCGTCGATCTGGTCGTTGATTTCGTTGGTGACGCTGTCGGTGATAGATTCGGGAATGAGGTTTATGATGGATGAAAGTGTGGAGTCAGAGTCTTCTGATGGAGCCTGGATGAGCGTTTGGCCAACGGCGGAGGTGTTGAGCGTTAGGAGAGAGTAGTCTTCCATGAAGCCTTTCTTGTGCCCGGCGAATAGGCAGAGAAACGAGAGGATGAGGGCCGCGGTACAACATAGCACCGGTAGTACTGCGATGAAGCGCATCGTGATGGTGTTGGCTTTACGATTGTAGTGTAGGTGTGGTGTAGGTGTAAAGGCGCAAGTAGTCGCGATCCCTCTATGTGCGATCCGTGAATGGCGATGTATTCAAACAGCGCTGCAAGGCTGAAACGCAGATAAAAGACAAAAGCGATAGATGTTAGGTGTGCGTCAAAGGCGATAAAGGAAGAGTCAACCACTTATACGTGACGCGCGAATACAAGCTTGCGATGCGACGACCGTGCAATAGACCCGCACGTCACTGCTAGGGCCCGGCCATGGCAACAAGCGAATAGCAAACCCAACCACCGGGGCCTCAGCCTCAAGATCAACGGCATTGAATACGAATCAGGGCCCTTTGGACACACTGACCACGATGTTGACGTGTTTGGGCGTGTGGTGTACAGACCCTGGAATTATGACGTAGCGCAGCGCTAAGCGAAGCAAATGCGCAGGGGTAAAGCAGGAACGTCAGGAACTTGACGTGCCTAGATTTTTGGTTGGGTGATGATGGCAGAGTTGAAAAAAGAAAGAGTGCCGAAACTCTTGTCAATCTCTGCATCGGTGTAGGCAGGAGCGCGGCGCTTGCAGATGTGCCAGCCACACGGGACCACTGTGGGGTGCACAGCCGCAACGTGCGTGTGCAGGTACGAATCGATGCAGACTACGGTGACACAAATAGAAGCTGGATTCAACAAGATCGCCTATAAGTGCACCCCATACAAGAGAAAATTGGGACATGTCTAGAACCTACACTAACGTTGGGTCACCTACTTTGCATGTTTCCATCTTGATGTCGGCTCCATGGTGTTCAGACTTTTCCCTGGGCGAGGTGAGTGATCGAACGCACCATGTAGGTCAAGGACTGGCTTGTCTAGTCTGTTTGTATTCGGGTCTATCGCTATGGTCTCGTCGTCTATTCGTGAGGCATCGTCTATCATGATGACCATAAGTGCATTACTTTCGTAGAGCAGCCTGTGCTCTCGGACTTTTGGAGTGGAATAGTTATAAGCGGTTGTGGTAGTGATGAAGTGTTGCGCATTGCGCATTGGTGTTGGGTCGCAGCCGGTTGGCACGGTGCTATCCGGCCTCACGACGGCGTCTTCTTGGAGTTCTTGGTGGGTTGGGGTGTTGACGACGAGCCAGCGCTGACGCCGTCAGTGAAGGGAGAGTATGGCGCTGTCACTGAGTGCGGGGGTGCTCGTTGGCCAGACTTTGTGCGCGGAGGCTCAGCGGAGCCCGGCCACTTCTTCTGCTCCTCGTGCATCTTGTCTAGTGGCTCTCCGACTATGTGATACTTGTCCCAGTTGACGGGTGGACATCGCACGATGTTCTGCGGCTGCGGTATTGCGGGGAACTTGGGTGGGTCTGGCTTCGCCTCCATGTGCGTGGAATCTTTGCGCGTGTCTGCGCTGTTCGCGTCTTGTTCGCTACTGCTTGCTGCGTCGGACAGACCGGCCAGTGTTGGCGTGAGGATGTCCTGGTGCGACTGCGAGGCCTGCGCGCGTTGTTCTTGCAGCGACCGCACGAACGCCTGCGGGTCGGATACAGCGGCTGCCTTGAGGTCCTGGAGGGCCCTCAGGTCGCGCTTGCTCTTTTCGCGCTGCAGCTGCAGGAGCGAGATGGCGGAGCGCAGGGCGATGGCATCTGGGTTCTCGCTCTCTGATATGGCGACGGACGGCGGTTGCGGTCTGAAGGTGGCCGTGGGCGGAGGGGCAGGGCGGGGTCGGGCTTCGGTGCGCTCCACAGGAGCTAACTGGGCAGCGGAGGCCGTGGGCGTGAGAGGTGACACAGGCGGGCGGTCGGGCGTGGGCGACTTGGAGCGGGCGCCAGAGTGCTCCGAGGCGGTCGAGGCATCGCTGGAGGACACCGGGCGCGCGTTCGTATCGACCAGGAGCGCAGGCATGGCTTGGTGGAGGGAGACGTCGCCAGGCGCAAAGCCGGAGAGTCGTGGCAGGAGGGCGATCGGCGACCACGCTGCGGTGAAAGCAAGGTCAGGCCACGCAGAGGCCTGGGAGCGCTGCTGGTAAATCTCCGGCGGTGGTTCGCCGCGAGGTGGCGGCGTCTTAGGCGCTGTCTAGACTTGTGCCGGGGCCGTCCATGCCAGGTGCGATTTGCGAGGGGGATGTCGGTCGTGCAAGATTGTGCGCGGGAACGCCCACGCTGGCTGCTGCTGTCGACACGTCGCGAGATGAGTGCGAGGGTTGTGCGGAGCCGGCCTGCGGGCGATAATTTCTTTGGCTGCGATTCGGCTGTACGGGAGTCGATCTCGTCTATCTTGTAACAAAGCCGGCCATCCAACATCAACTGCCACACGTCACACAGTCCGCCGACAACACTCGATGATATTAGAGGAAGAGATCTTGAGCCTGGTCTCTCGTATTCGAGTAAGAGTGACACATGATCGTCTGTGGTAATTGGAAGGGTTTACACCTCTGATCATACTACTATCCAGCTGTGACCAGAAAGGAGTGTCCGAACTTGGTATTCCGCACTCCGAGTACATCATCACGATGCCAGTTGCACACTGACCTCGGTTGCACTTGCTTGTGGCCGTGCGTGGCATTCTCAGACAGCGATTGCGTGACGCGCCGCTATTCCCGACGTCTGAATCTCGTCATGTCTATCCGACCTCCATGCGGTCTGGTCGAACAGAATGGCAAGTTCCTTGAGGGATATAGGAGAGACAAAGTAAGGGCTAAAGACGGCACCGGCACGAGGCAGTGTCAGTGCGCTCCTCTGAAGCAACTGCCAACCCACAGCCGACATAACGGCGTTCAAGATCTGCCCTCTGATTGCCAATTTGCATGTCGCAAAACGCGTCCGTCTAGTCCGGCGACATCCTCGCAGATGAGAGTCTTACGCAGCCGAACGCCTGCAAGGGTCAGCGCCAGAGCGAGAAGCCACCCAAGTAATCCACCAAAACGCCATGCCCAGCCCGCCAATAGCAATACTCTGATAGGCGGTGCCGCGTGGATAGCCATCAGAATCACGTCTCTTGAAGCGTAGCGTACCCGTCCCAGCCTGCGTCCTCCACGGTGAGTCGCTCTTGCTTTTTGCTAGCCTTGGAGCCTTCAATTGCGCCTTCTACTTGCAGACTCTCCAGCTCGGTACAGACACGCCCATTTCCCTCATCTGCCGTGCCGTCCTCGACCCTCACCTCTCCACCTCCATATCATCCTTCCAAATGCCACTCAAATTCCTCACTTCTCGACCCTCGACTACTGTCCGCTACCTGCACCTGCATGACATGCGCTACGCCTTAGCGACGGCCTGCCAATCAAACGACGATCAAACTGGCACTGACTGGCCGCTAAACCCTAAGGGCCCACCCGACCGAAATCACTTTCGTTAGCCATGGCTCCGAATGCAGACTTAACAGCACAGTCCCCGCTGGCGCGCATGCCCAAGCTGAAGTACAGAAATCCGCTTCCGTCCGACAGCCTTTCCATCGCCGACTCTGCTTCCCAGGACTCTGGGCCCGACTCTGCTTATAGTCAAGAGCCGCCCGCGACCCCGGATCCAAACGCTCCTTCGAACATCTCCCGTCCGTCCTTCGACACTACCTCCCTGACGTCATCCAGTCTGGCTTCCATATCCTCCAGCAACTCTTCGTCAAATGGCTCAAAGTCATCGAAGAAGAAGAAAAAGGGCTCCGTGCTCGGGTTCCTTTCTCTAAAGGAACCATCCCAAGTCGCTTTGGAGCAGTTCAAGGAACAGCAGCGCAAGCAGAATCTCAACTCCGGAACCTCAACGCCGCAGTCAAGAGCCAGCAGCAACTATGTCGGCCAAAAACTTCCAAATTCTGTCCCCAAGGTCAATTCAAAATGGGACGGTGTTCCTGAATCCGTCAAACACCGGTACTCAACAACAAGCGCATACAGCAAGGACAACAGAATCAGCGTATCGTCCAAGGGCTCCTTTGGCTCGCCTCTCAAAAACGCCCCCTGGAACGAGTCGAGATTCTCTGTCATGACAGACGGCACCCGCAACCCACCCAATTCAGTCGCATCTGCCTCCATATCAAACCTTACTATCCGAGATGGAGCTTCTGGCCTAGGATCCTCTCCATCAACTACCACGCTCCCGGAGATGTCCTACTATTTCCCGGACGACCCCGCTGCGTCTGGCGCGTTAACCCCCAGGTCCGAGAGCGCTGGCGCGTCCTACGATTCTACCATGCAGTCACCAGTTCGGCTCTCGAACTCCACTTCGAGCGATCGTCCAAGCATAGACGGATCAGTAGACTCACGGCCACATTCCCCAGCCTCTTCGACGACATCCGCAGATACGATCGTCATGGACACTGCAGATACTATCTTCCGAAAATTGAACGACCGGCCCAACCAAGGAGCATGGGGAACGGATGCTCATGCTGTTCAGGCGCCTGCTGAGAACAATTTTGGCGATGTGCCCGACTCACATGACTTCCTCTTTCAACCCCAACCTGTTGTAGAGCGCCGACAAAGCGAACCGCTCGCCATCTACGAGTCGCCCTTGGATGCATCGTCTATCCCACATTATGCCCCTCAGCGACCGGTCCAGAACTTCAGTCGACCAATGGCAACGAAGGGCCCACCGCCAGTTCAGCGGTCTGCACACATGCCGCACTATAGGAGGACACCATCAGCTCCAGCGCTGCCAACTTTGTACGAAGCGTCGCTAGCCAGCACTGATGATCTTCGAGAGGATCGTGATGATGACGACGACGATTCGTATTCCATTGCTCCATCTACTATTGCGCCATCCGAGCTCTCCAAGCATTGGTATGAGTCTCCACGTGAACGTCTAGGTCTTGGTAGGCGACTTCAGATCAATGACGTTTCACCATGGGAGGAGCAGAGAGGGGCAGCAGGTAAGCCCAAGAAAAGTCGGTTGTCAATGTTTGGGAAGGCGGTGTCGAGAGGATAGGCTTTGCGGGCAAAGCTCGCGCATTGACTGACTCCCAGTGGGTAGCTTCGTGCGAACCTGAGCGATCATCGACCGGTGCTACAAAAACATTCGGCTCCTGATACGCCAACTTGTGTACAAACTTTTGCGATTAGCGATATCCAGCATACCCCCGCTTCGGCGACATTCTTGTACGGCGGCATTTCTGAACGCCAGTTTCTCCAACATAGATACCCATTTCACGAATCTTACCAATCTGCTCTCTAATGGCTACATCATCACGCATCATTCTCTCAGGTAACGTAATAATTAATTCACTCTTACATACGGCTGCGCCTCGTTACAAATCCGATCTCATGGAGCTGTGGGGAAACATGGCGCGAATCGCGCGTCGATTTACGAAGGTTTGACGCAAGGCACTACACAATCACACCATAGGGCTTACTATAGTGGCACGTTTTGCGTCCATCGCACGTATCTCATGCAAGCCCCAATCTCACTAGTCCACCTTTTCGAACCCTATATTGCTTCTGCCGTGGTTCTTCAGCCCTGGTCTAGCGTGACTGTTTGCCGATCGACAAGCCCGTCGAAACCTTAACGCCATAATCCACTCCCTTGCAGTATCGGAACGAGCACGCTCTCTTACCACTCTATTTGACAGGCTTGATGTGATTCGCCCAGCGGACACTTGTTCCAATCCAGCTCACACGTCATCTAGTCGATCAACTTGATCTGCTCGCCGAGCAGGTCAATCCAAAACCAGATCACACGAACCATCGAAACACCATACCAATAGTTTGACGCTGGCTGTCGCAAAGTGCGCTTGCATCAGAAGTAAACTCTTTTGGCGGACACGCTCGAGTATCTAGCACCGGCGGCTCCGGTCAAAGGCCCTTTTTTGGTTGACCTATGAATGTCGTGATGATTGCCGACACACTCCCGCTAGAGTTAGCTTTCTCCAGATCATCACATGGCGCAGCATGGTACTCCTTGTGTCGCTAGCTTGATCGACAGGGCAGACGTGTCCACACCCCGTATTCCTAGGATACCCACGATCAAATGTTATGCGTGTTTTCGGAAGGGTAAGCGACTGCCCATGCTTGGATCAGGTTGAGCTTTGAAGGGGGATAGCAATACGTTGCTGTAAACTTTGAACCGATGTACATGGCCGAAGTGAGCGCGAACTGCAGCATTTGGAAGCGGAGAGCTGCGGCGCTGAACATGGCACATGGAAGAGCCCAGTCCTGGACATGGATTGCGTTGGTAGCTTTTTGAGTTTTGAAGAGAAAGCAGCGTGGGGGAAGATTACCGATGGCACTGCGACTCGTTGTTTATGGACGCGGTGGACAATGTCACATCAACCTGGGAAAAGACTGAACAGGTCTGCAGCCTACAATAGTATGGAAACATGCACAATAGGTAACCTGACATTGATGTAGGCTCTAGACCTGTTGAGCTTTTTCTTGTATGTGGCAGTGCACCGATGTTGACTGCCAGAGCAGAACGCAACATGGAAATGGTCCAGATCAGTTTTGATACGACGCCCCTCAAAATGCTCTACATGGATGGTTCTGCTCGGTTTTTATGTTTCTTCCACTTGCTCCTACAGCCGCCGAACATTAACTCGATTTTTTGTTGTTAGGTTAGACCACAGGAGAATATAGAGCAGAGCTAATGGTGAGTCTTCAAAGACATGCGGGTAGCGCGTTTTGCCTTTGGGGCGCGTTACTGACCCACAGGCAACATCGATATATCGCATCGCGTTTTTGGTAATTTCTCATTCATGCGCTCGCTGAAGGAACAACGAGCCGTGGAAAGGATGTTCATACAGATGGAAGTTAGCCTGCGCAAGAAGATCCCGGTGACCTAGATGTTACTGTCAACAGTCCAAAGGAGAGGAGATTAGTCTAGCGCATTGCTTTTGTGCTAGCTGCTGCCTACGCATCTGCGATATAGCTAGAAGGGCTTTATAGTTTATAAAGATACACACCTAAGGTACTATTAGCTAAACTATAGTTCTACTTTGTAGAAAAAGAATAGCCTACATACTTAAATATTAAGGTTAGAACGGGCTAGAATAGACGTAGTAGTAGTAGTAGTTAACAGTCCGAACATGTTACATTGATGCGCAGTTTTGACGGTGACATATTTCCATCGATCTGCGCACCATGCGTTTTGTTCTGGGTAAACCGGTTGTTTGAATGCAGGGATCCAGGGTCGCCAGGCCGCACATGAAACTTTTGCTGTGACGTTTTGAAAGAAGAGGAACAAGCGAAGAGCCATCACGAGCTGCTTGTCGGCTTTTTGAAGTTGTGAAAAATGGCATTGTTGTTAAGGAGTAAGAGGTAGAATTACCATGCGGACTTTTATATACCTTGCCTACAGCACGAACACGCACGCGTGGGGTGGCTGTACTCATACACTGAAGGCTTTCTCGTGCAGAGTTAGAATCTTCGCCCGTTCCTCTATCTGGCCGTCCTGAGCCCAATCCCCCATCTCCATCAGCCTGTCTCTCTGAACCTCAAGCTCCCTGTTCATGACATCACTGTTTGCGTTTCCAATACTCCTCTTGAGCTCTTCTGTCATCTCTTCCGCTTTGGCCTTCACACTCTTTGTGAACGCACTAGCCGGCCCATGACTCAGGTGCGCTACATTCAACACCTGCTTTACCAACATCATGGCAATGAGACCCATATCCACCTCCGGTGCACCTACACCCCCTGGAGTACTTGCTAGGTATGCGGCCAACATCGCCATCTGCCATGTTTGTACTACCCGGACCGGGTGGAACGAGACTGGGTAGAGCTTGGGAAGGATGTACTTGTACCGCTTTGCACATTGCGCCCATGCGTCCTGATAACGTCCCTCGGAAAGCAGGTTCACAATCAAGTCGTCGCGGAGTGCAGCATATGGTTGTCGGTAAATCGGCAGAAACATTGCCTCATGGCATATCTTAAGTGCCTGCCTGATCGCTGCTCTAACAAGCAGGGGGCTCTCTGTTGCTTGGAGTTCTGCATAGAGACCAAACAGCTTCTCCTGAGTTTCTGCCATGGACGCAACTTCGGCTCCCAAGACCCATCCAGGCCTTGATGGTACCAGCCAGTTGTCTTCCTGGAGAGTCGCCTTTTCCTGACATTGGGCGCAGCGGCAGGTAAAGAACCAGCGGGATTGGAGCTCTTCTTGTCGCCTGTGGTAGGGATTCGTAGCATCAATGTACGAAATGTAGATTTCTTTGTCTTTCTTGATGGGTCGGAGTGTACGAATGCTTACTCGCGGACCGTCCATCATGATGTATGCGTTCGGGTTACAGGAGTGATTCATATGGCAGAGTGTAGGATCGATCATGATACCTAGAGGATCTAACGTAGGTGTGATCAGTGTCAGAGCATTTGACATTACCTTTATACATGTCAGTGAGAGAGTTAGAAGAGTCCATCACAGACTTACTCGACCATACATCGCTGCAACAAAGTCCTTGTCGAAAAGGTTTTGCAACGACGAGAACTGACCGACACCCATAGCCATGAGTTCAATATTCTCGTAGGTTCCGTTCCTCTTGAAGTCGTCAATGTGCGAAGGTAAGCGACAAAGCAGCTCCCATTCTTCATCGGAAATCAGACCATGCTTTCGCCTAATGAATAGTTCCATACATGCAAGTAAGGCTTTGGGGAGGGGTCTACCAGCCGTTGGCTTCAGCATCTTGCACTCATGCTTATGTCCCCGATTCCATGCGTCCTTTTGGCATGCCTGATGCATGTTAGTTCACGAACATACCCGCAGATAACTCGACGTACCTTGCTGCAGTAGCGAAATATCTGGCATGCAGCACACTTGTTCACTTTTGCGCCTTCCGGTACATACAACCTTGTTCCAGTCGATGAACCTTCAGTCCAGAGGTAGCAATTCGCACAGGTATCGAGCAGCCGTTCCGTCTCCAATGAAGCAACAAGAGGCCTCGTGAAGCTTGCAATCTCTTCGCCCGAACCAAACCTTCGGTTAGCAAAAAGACCATTACCAATGCTCTCGCCTTTGCTGTTGGTACAGATAGCCGACTTCGAAATGTAATAAGGTGCCGGTGCTGCCACGGAAGACTTCGGTTCGCCTGACATGACGCGAGGTAGTAGATAGATATTTAGTTGGTGTCGTTAGAATGATGGGGTTCAAGTCAAAGGGTTCAGACGCGTAGCGTGCGACGTCATGTTGTCTCAAATCAGCGGTTATCTCCAGGGCTCGCGTGAAAACGTGAGTTTCGCGACTGACTAGCTCGATTAGGCCAAGGCCAACGAGCTGCCCATGCTCCTACCCCTCACCTTCTCAACACACTTCCAACACGAGAACATTGCATCTACACATATTGCTTTGGCTTTAACGTCTCGTTTTACTTGAATATAGGTTAAGGGTCGAGCATTGCGACATGCACACGTTCCGAATTCGATGACCGTGCGCCTAAACACTGCCCAGGTGGTGGTAACTGGCATGATCGAAGAAAGCTCGCATTCACCCCATTCAAAAGGAAATATTAACAGGTCCTCCAAAGTCTACATTGCTATAAAAGCTCAAGTTTGTAGATTGTTTAAGGCATTGTAGCCTTCTAAGCTTCCTTTAAGATAATTGCACTTCGCAGAGCTAGGTGTTTACCGTTTCCCTCAAATGGGGTGCACTTAGCGTTTTGTTAAGAATGAACATCTAGGATCTCGATCTCTTATCGAGGGCAAGAATTCGTCGTTTATGCCTCTGACGAACGTCGCGATATGCCACCCGCTTCCTGATTGTCACGGCGATGGCTGCTGACCTTCGCATTCCCTATGGATCGGAAAGATGCTTCGTGATCAGAGAGACACGTCGCTGATTAGCCAGACGCATCCAAGTTGTAGGCATGATGCGAAACAAAGAAACTACAGATAGCATTCTTGTCGATCTCACAAGCAATTTGATGTGTACAGCTGTCGAGTGTCCAATTGCAGCATTGGTGACGAACCAGGGGTACGTCACAGCCAGGGTTTCGCGCGGCGGCACAGTTCCGTCCCGCGGTCGCGTCGAGGACTCAACAATCATAACCTCGTAATTGTCTTCAACTCGACCGTTTTCTTTCAATTCATTGACACACGCTCTTAGCAGTAAGTATACTATTACCCGTGTACGCCTTGTAGAAAGCTGGTACGATGACATAGCCAGGTTGATCTTACCGGCACGGCCAAAGCCCCACTATAGCCGACGCCTCTGCATTAGCCCCCGTATCGTACCCGCTGTATTGCGCGACCGAAGATGCCACCCTACCGGACACCGAAGAAGGCGTGGGGCAATTCGTCAAACCCAAACAAGAACAGCTTCGTTCCTGCCAACGAGACCCTCGACAACGAAGCCGATGAGGAGTACCGCAATCGAGCGGTGAATGACCCATATACACACTACATCCTTAAGACGGGAAAGCACAGGGGCAAGACCTTGAAGCAGGTCCATGAAGAAGGCCGAAATGAGGGCTACCTTAATTGGATGCTCAGAACACCAAAGGCATGCAAGGACCTGGACGGAGAGCATATTGTGAAGAAGGGGCTGTTATACTGGAAAGAGCACGCCTCCAGCGCCGAGCCGGTGAAAACGCCGACAAAACCCTCTTCTAGGAGGGACAGTGCAGCTTCTGAGACGGAAACCTCACGATTCAAAGACACTCAAGGGAAGCAGATTACGATTAGTGGTGGCGATGTCGCAGGTCTTTTTCACATGAGGGAGAATCAGCTCAAGACAGCTGGGGTGAAAAGAAAGTCCAACTACGTCATGTACAGCAAGCAATACTGGAGCAATGTGTACTCCTTGAAAGACGTATACGACGCAGCGGTTCGTACACCAAACTGCCCTAGGGACGAAACTCCTGATCAGGCTCTGGAGCGGTGCTTCGAGAAGGTGAAGAGGTGCGGTCACGGAACTATGCTCTTTATGCCAGAGTGTTGTGAGTGCTTTGAATGTGAGAACCTTCGCGCTGGTCCGACACAAGGAGGCCTACGTTTTGTTTCGGGGTTGCAGATGGAGCGGCTTAAGCAGATGCAAAAGGAGCAGGAGAGAGAGGATAGTAGATGGATCGGCATCGAGCCTTGGATGGGCGATTATGATTAGTGAAGATGCGAATAGAAAGATTGTGGGCAGCTGACGTGCGAGATGCGTAATGGGTTCGTTGTTTGAACCTACGTACAACTTTCAGTGACCGAAGAGGTGGCTCACAGGGTGTCATGAGGCCGATATGCAATTTTCAGTGATTGGACAGGTGGACCAGAATGTAGTGTTGCAAGACTGAACGACTTGTAGAGTGCTCGTCAAACAATGGCCGCAATCTGCATTCGTTGCTCGACGCCTGGAGTGCATCGCGACCTAGATCTCCGTATCCATGAATGGAAGCTAGTAAGGCGTATATGTGATCGAATTACAAATTTAACTTCGCCTTCATACGCTCTCCTTTCTCCCACTCATCATATCAGGTGTGTGCCTTCCTCTAAAACCACTTAGAAGATGGCTATGTCTGGGCCTCGCCTTCTTCTTACACATCATATCCGGGGGAAGAGGGACATTTTGGTTACAATAAGATGATCCGAACTTCCACTGCATCAGTACACGTACTTGCTCCGCTTCACTTCGTTGAAACGCCATGCACCAGAGTTTCTCACCAGCTTACTCTGATGTAGTCAGTCGCCTAGATGGCTAGGATAGAGGTAGGCTACATTATTCTACTCTTGCGTGGCCCAGGGAAGCGCAATCTTTCTCCAGCTTCTAATTGGGTATGGGCGCACCTTGTCGAGGTGAAGGTGAGTGGTGAACCTGTCCAAAGCCCCACAAGCTCTCACCGTCACCACCACTTTGATTAGACGGCGACTTCTCTCACAACGCCAGCGCAGTAGTAAGGCGCCTGCCTATTTCAGCTCGTCTTCAGGCTTTCTACTCTCTTCTCTTGACACCGCACTTCGAGTTCAATCTTCCTACCTCGCAGACGACCATCGCTCTCCAGCATCATCTCTTCAAGCTATATCACAACATTCCCTTACACTACACCATCATCAACATGCCTCCCAAGGCCGCCGCGGAAAAGGCCGGCAAGGTCTTCACTGCCGATGTCGTCGCCGCTGTCCTCTGCAGCACTGGCACCACCAGCCTGTCCAACAAGAACTACGAGATGATGAGCGCGCTCGACGGCGTCAAGACTGCGAGCGGTTTTCAGCACGATTTCCGTTCCGTACTCGCCAAGGCCAAGGAGCTCAAAGCTCGCCTCGAGTCTGGCGAAGAGTTCGAGCCAGTTCCGCCTGGTAGCAAGCGCGGTATGTTCTTTACCTAAGTGCTTGAAGTTTTACGACATCAACTAGCATTTCACTTCTGGCAAACTAACACTGTTCAGGTCAGACTACCCCAGCAACCGCCAAGGCAACTCCTAAGAAGAGAAAGGACATGTCTTCCGGCTCCGAAGACACTACACCGTCTAAGAAGAAGACGGCGACTCCCAAGTCCCGTGGCAAGAAGGCTCAGGCCCCAGTGGAGGATACCATGGAAGACTTCCCCGATGATGCTGAGGAGTTCATCAAGAGAGAGAAGAAGTGGGAGGAGGATGTCTTCACCTGAAGCATTCAGCCTTGAGCAGACGTATGGATTATGACATGGCATGCTCAAGTTCGTGGATAAGGTGGGGTTGCGTCTATGACCACGTGGGTCACATGGTTGAAAACTGCGGTGAAGCCAGATGCACCGCACGCATGTATCTGAAGAGAATTATAAGGATCATCAACGATCTTCCATAGTCAATGGAGCATTTCTCTACGTATTCATTGCTCATGACTTGTGTTTTGTGCTTTAACTTTCACAACGACATCAGCACTCCAGGTGCACAAGCAGTTGTAATACATGAATGGGGAGCCTGCAGCACGATGAGATAACCCCATTCATGGAAAAAACTCAACACCCTGGAGCCTACGTCGACGTTAGGTCACCCACTTTGCATGTTCTTATCCTAATGTAGGCTGCTTCCCTGTGCAGCATGCGTGCTGCTTCCCTGTCTCTAGCACAACCTCATTCAGTTTTTTCCCTTGTATGGAGTGAGATCGATGGCGCAGGCTGCTGTCAGCGACATGTACGCCCTACAGGATACTCTCTACATCCATACACATATGACATCGTCCAATTAATGCCGGTCATTTGCGTTTCAGTGACTTTCTTGTCGTCCTTGGTCCCAGAGTTGCCGATGCTGGGCGTGCATGCGATTGTCTGCAAGAATGTAATAATAACATGATCCAGGTTACCATAAGCAATGGGCGCATGCTGCTAAGATGTGCGCACACGGTATGATCCTGCTCGACATAGCGCTCTGACATATCCGATGCGCATATGCATCTACCAGCTGCGATATCATCTCTTCCACAATAGTCGCCGCTTCATTCTCCAACTCTGCATCTCTACACCGTGTATTGCCGGTCATTTTCGTCAAGGCCAGCCCACAGTCAAATCTCCTTTGGGTGGGGCCCAAATCCCGGGCCGTCTGCAGACCCATCGGCTCCGTGCTAAAACCGTAGGCTCATCACCGGTGTCGCACCGACCAAGTCTCGCCCCTAGGCTGGCAAAGTCTTCCAGGGAAGGTCGTAGATCGCAGTCATGTCGGCGCATATCGATAGGGGGAGATCAAGGCGTCGATTGGAGTCGCCCTGATAGAGGATGACGTCGCCCCCGGCGGTTAAGGTCATGTGCGAGACCGGCGTTCGCATGAGGTGGTGGTGGAGCTGACATGTTAGGCGAGCAAAGTTACAGAAGATGGCAGGTGCCGGGGGTGACCGAGTAAGCAGGGGAGACCTTGGCGCCAATGCAGGTACAGCTTCGACGCCTGTAGTTTGCGCCGGCAACTTTACTCAACATCCAGAACTCGAACGACAGTCTGTCGCCATCTTCTTGTAGTCTGCATCGACACATTGTGTTCCTGCGCGGTTATGCGGCAGCAGGATGGCAGCAAGGCCCCTGAATTTTCCCCGGATTATTGGGTGGCTGCCTTCTAACCTCCAAACAGCTTAGCATCGTGGCACGGCGGCCGTTGGTGTGCTCCTCATGCGCCGGGATGCATCGTCGGTGAGTGGCTCCTGGGCTAGACGCTCGCTATGATCCTAGGCGAGATGCCTCGAGGGCTGTGCGAACAGAGGGAAAAGGGGGCTCCTGGCCAAGCGTCTCACTGGCGAACGGCCGATTGGGCGCATGAGCATCCTCATCCATTAGCTCCAGAGCGAGCTATACTGCTTTCGTCCGGCAATTTTGCATCTTCTGCCGTTGCTTTGGCGTCTCGATCCGGTCCAGGTAGCCGTTGGGTGTCAGCGTATTCTTTATTATACCGCGTCGCCCACCGTCGTCTTTTCTTCTTCACTCCCACGTCGCACTATCGCTGTACACAGTCACTCGTTCTTTATCCAACTACATATACCCATACAGCTACTACAGTTCTAATACCCTAATCACCAATCCAACTACCGTCACCATGCGCTTCTTCGAGACCATCCTTTCCGCCGCGGCCTTCGCTGCCGCCGTCGCTGCCCTCGAGATCAACGACTTCCCTGCTGAGGGTGTTGTTGCTGGCCAGACCTACACCATCACCTACTCCCCCGCGGACGACACCCCCACCACCTTCATCCTCCGCCAGGGACAGTCCACTGACCTCGACACCGTTGCCACTCTTACCAGTATGTGCCCAACCTGACAGTAATATGATCTTCCAATTCTAACTGAACTCCAGCTTCCGCTACCGGTGGAAAGTTCGAGTGGACCCCTACCAAGTCCCTCGTCAACGAGCCCGACTACGCTCTCCAGATCCAGCAGGGAACCACCATCAACTACTCCGCCCAGTTCCCCCTCTCTGGTGGCGCTGAGGAGGATGACTCCCCTGTCTCCTCTGCCGTCTCCTCCGCCATGGCATCTGCTTCGTCCGCTACCGCATCTGCTGCTTCTTCCGCCTCTGCTGCCCTCAGCAGCGCCATTGAGAGCGCCAAGTCCAGCATGATCACCAGCGCTGCCTCTGCTTCCGCCACCATCAGCCCCTCCGCTGGCGTCAACTCCACCGTCACCTCTGCCACTCTTACCCGCTCTTCTTCCGGCTCTGCCACTGGCAGCGCCAGCCTCCCTGAGGTCACTGACTCTGGTGCCAACATCCGCAGCCCCGTCGCTGCCATGCTCGGTGCCGCCGCCGCTTTCGCCTACTTCGCATAAGCGTTTCCCTTCACGACCTTATACTATAATTGTCCTTTTACGACATGTTAGCATTGGAATCTGTGGGAACCCCCTCCAGCATCTATTGTCAATTTGAGTCACGCGAGCATTGGCATCCGTGATTGGTGTGTCCGATGGGAACGCTATGCAAAGAGCTTGTATAGACGTAGCAGAAAATGATAATATGGAAGCATTTGCCTACTCATCCATGATCCTGCAAGTGATGCGTGCAATGACACCATGCCTTTCGTCTCATGATGTATCAGATGTAGTTTTGCTTGTGCGAGCATAGGTGCTTTCGACCTATGCGCACTTACCGTGAAACATCCGTTCCGCTTCCCTGCTTCTTTTGTTACTTCCGCAATGCTTGGGAGATCTCTATCATCGTAGCACAGACGTCACAATCAATCATCCGCGTGGTACCGCATCCATCATGTCTCAGCGGTACCGTGGTACGAGGCTGTCATCATGCGTTACATGCGCACTATCCCCGCATGTCTATCACAGCAACCTGGTAGTACACAGTAGGTACTGGGGTCAATCACTCTTTGGCGTGTGCGCAACATGACGTCGCGTTTGGCGCGTGTCAAGAACCTGAAACGCGGAGTTGACGATCGCATCTTGTCGTTCGTCGCGCCAGGAATTCTGTGGTTGACTGACCAGGTGACCCCACAGCGGGATTGTTCCCCACCTCTCCACAGATGCATCAAGCAAGCTGCAAGAACCCGCTGCTCATTGCCACACCGTAACTACACCTCCGCAGTTCTCTCTTCTCCATCGCATCTATCGCTTGAAGTCTTCAACACTCTGTTGCGTCTTGACAAGCACACAGCCCCAAGGACGCGAACAGCAGCAGCACCCGCATCGCCACCATCAGCTAGTTTCTAACCAGCCGGCGTACACCGAGTTCCACCATCACTAACTACAAGGACTGCGCAAGCCTACCAAGCAAGCCACCCGCCTACCAACCCAAAAGAGAGTAGACATGTAGCACTGCCTGCTGCCGTGTGTTGCGCGTCCAATGTCATGTATCACGCGGTCAACAGCGTTTTGATCGAACCAGGACTTGCCACGGCTTGCACACGCTAGTGCCCAGTAGTAGCGGCCACGCCGAGGCTGATGTGCTATTAGCTTTGGAATAGATGTATCGATACGTTGCATACCGAAAATTTCAAAGGACCTTCTTGCCAATGCGGCGGCGCTGAAAGATATATTTAGTTTGTAATCGCAAGAGAAGCTAGCCAAAAAGGCTTGAATCGATGGTAGAGCGGTCGCGAGCTGGGAACTAATGAAGCGCAGCTGAAGCCGAGCCTTGAACAGTATGGTGAGTCTTCGCCTTTGCTTAGGCTCACCGTTCAAAGGACTCTTGATCCTGCAAGCCTTTCGCTATTCTTCAGTCCGCGCCATACGCGGTGGCTACACTCTAACGTTGGGCATCATTAAATGCCTCAATGCTTACGTAGCCACTTCCCTCGCTTTCGATAACCGACATTGTTGCATTCGCTCGTACTTCGGCATTATGACCAGGTTGTTAACATATCGTTAACCTTCGCTTTTACCTAACAAATTGACTCCAGCTTGACTAGGATATCGGGACCGTTGCTGCAGCGACGATCACGACAACGCCAGGTAGAGCTGAGTTGAGTTGAACGAACTCCACCACATCATATTTTTTTGTAAAGGAGCCATTCAGATCTTTCATGCTCGTAGCTAGAACTGTGTAGCCACATTGCTGGTGCTATGGCATGGTATCCGCAATTTCGACTTTTTCTCTATCTTTGCGTAATACCGGCATCCAACCTCCCATTAATCGACAAGGTCCTACCGCTCTCGCTCCTCACTCTGGTAGCTGTTTCTCAGCCCAAGTGTTGGCCCAAAATGTCCCGATGTCTGCACCTGAACAGCTGGTGTCGACTTTCCAACACTCTTTCTACCCATAAAAGTTCGCCCACTGACCACATTACCCCTCCTCACAATATCCCCCCTTCTTCTTCCCACTCTACACAAATAGCACTCCCGCAGCCCCAGCCATCGCACCCGCAAATCCCATCTTCTTAAGACCTCTCACAGGAACCGCAGCACCAGTAGCCTCCACAAGGCCTGAAGCACCCGTACCGCTCTGTGTACTGCTTCCTCCACTCTGCGTTCCCGTCACACTCTGTGAACTTGCATCAAAGCTCGCAGTCCTCGAACCAACAGCACTTTGAATACCAGTGATCACTGTAACATCTTCGGTCACTGTGTTGGAAGGCACAGGTGATGCTGTATCGACGGCCAGACTCGGTGCTCCAGCTATCGATGTTGGGAGCGAGCTCGCTGGTGTACTAACGCTGTTGTCGACGGTAAAGGCGTCACCCCATGATGGGGTTGGAGACGCCGATGGGAGCAGGTTCTCTGTTGATGTTTCCGCTGCGGGTTTGACGGCGAAGGGCTCACCCCACGACTGTGTTGCCGCGGACGAGATACCAAGAAGGGAGAGTAGGGTCGTCTTTCGGAGGGAGGATTTGCGCATATTGGCGGTGTTTGCTCGGTATGTCTTGAACCTCGTTTCTGTCTCTCCTCAACGCTTGAAGCTTGTGTAGGTTGTTTCTTGAGATGCGTAAACTGAGTGACAGGGTTTCAAGCTTCACGGCGATGGCTTCTTTTTACTTGGATGCCAGGGGACCCTGCGCTCATCCCGATACTCCGGATCATCACTATCCACCCAGAAATTGCCATATTGAGCGTGTAGTACTCACAAGTCTGACGTAAGTTTCCAGCACAAACAGCGATGCGTATCGCGTTAACGTGGTGAGACAGCCAGCCTCCTGGTTTCTGATAGGCTGTCAGTCCGGATAGAAGGTGTCTGATTGGTCGGGAAGGCTTTAGTGCTGTCTCGTTCGGGTCTCCGCAATGCTGCCGCACGCGAACCACTGCCGGACCCCGACATTTTGCGATGCCGAAACGACGCGCAACATTCTGCAGTGTGATATGCACTTATTTCTATTGTAGGAGAAGTGTATGTTGCAAGGAAGCTGGTGGCTTGCTGTGGCGCTGAGATCTACCATCGGAAACCAAGACACCAACCAGTCATCAGAATTTTACGACAACGTTTGCAATTGCACTACAGACAGGTTACTAGGAGTCAAATCCATCTCTATTCGTCAAAATTTCGGCCAGGAAATAGCTCCACTACCATTTGACAAGATCCTGCACTTGGACAGGCATACCAGTCTCCATGGAGCGATTCGCACCAACACCGACAAGGACAGCATTACCGCCATCCCGAATGTACGCAGCTCGTTTAAAGCTGTCTTCACCGTCGCTGGTAGCGATGACATCTCGCAGAAGCAGGGGGTCGCCACCTCCGTGGCCGCCTTCGCTCTTGACAACATCAACGACATAAGGCTGTCCCCACAAGGGATACACCACAATGTTTGTCTTCTCCACGCCACCTTGGATGTAATTTGCTTCGAGCTCACCGAGCCCTTCGTTTGTGACAGTCTCACCACCCGCTGAGTATCCGCCTTCGACAACATTTATCTCGATGCGGCCCTTGCTACCATTGAACACGCAGCGATATCCCTCCCATGGCGCATAAGCATATGTGTTGTAGGTCATGACCGCTTTGTTCTTGTACTTGATGATCATGGAGAGATTGTCTTCGATAGTGATGCCTTCAGCGAAGCAGTTGCGGTCACGGATGTAGCCGTCCTCGTGCTCAGCCTCGAGGTACAACTTCTTCAGTTGGGCGTTTTGGTCGATATGAATCGCAAACGGGTCGTCTTTCGCAGTCTCGTTGTTGAGATAGCGTTCGCCTAGATTCTTCTCTCCTCTTCGCTCAGCGTTTTCTCTACCGTAGAAACGTAAGCTACCGACGCAGTAGACCATCTCGGGTTCCGTGTTCAGCCAGTAATGTACCAGGTCGAAGTGATGAATGGACTTGTGCATCTGGATACCACCACTGGTGTCTTTGTTTCGATGCCATCGTCGCATGAAATCAGATCCATGTGCGCAGTCCAGAATCCAGTCCATGTGTACCGTCGAGATTTCACCAATGACTCCGGAATCGACAAGCTCGCGTAGCTTCGTGTGGTGAGGTGCGTATCGATAGTTGAAGAGAACACGAACTTGCTTGCCTGTCCTCTTCTCCGCATCGATCATCGCTTGCAGCTTCTCTTCGTCGATAGTCATCGGTTTCTCGGTAATTGCGTCGCAACCCAGCTCCATAGCGCGGATGCAGTATACGTGATGGAACTTGTCGATGGTGGTGACGATTACGACGTCGGCCTTTTGCTCTTTGACCATCTTGTCGAAGTCTTCTGCCTTGTACATCGGGACGCGTTCGCCCCCGATCTCGGCAATGCGATCATTTGCAGCTTTCATGCGCGTCTCATTGGTATCGCATATACCAACGACTGCAGCGCTCGATTTGAAGTCTTGGATGATGCTTTGGTAGTAGAACGCGGATCTAACGCCCATGCCCACAATGACATAGCGTTTGATCTGCGGAAAAGTCATGACTTTAGGGAGGGGGAGGGGATGTTCGGAAATATAATATAATGGTGCTTGGGTATGAAACGGGCGACAACCAGAGTGACCTTATACACATCTTTATACGATATCTTCCTTGAGTCTGCATGATTCAAGGTGAGCTGGTACTATGCATCGTTAACAGTAGAGCGTCAAATCAGAGGTCTTCGTAGCGAAGCAAATTGATGGTGTCCAGTAATCGAGTGTTTCGTTGCAGGCGTTCAGGTGGAGCAGCGGAGTGTGGAGAGTGTAGGTAGCACATCGACACTGCTCCCGCTTGTTACACACTTCGATCGGCTAATAGCTCTGGAGTCCTGCTGCAAACATGGAGATTGTATGGCATTCGGGAGGGAAAGCACCGAAGAAACGGACGGCTGCAGCATGCCCCACTTGTCGGTCACGCAAGAAACGATGTTACCATTTTGAGGACCGCGGATATCGAAGGAAGGAGCGAACCTGCGGAATAGGAAGTCAAGTGCAAGAGACTCATCTGTGCATCGATACAGGCGAGCCCACTCCAAGCCCCGGTCGCGTCAGCGAATACAACCCTGAATCCGTCCTCGCAGCTCTATCAGAAGACGCTGAGCCAGGATCAAGCGCCTTAAACCAGACAACACATGCGACATCATCCCAACCTACGCCACAAGCTATGGTACTCACTTCTTCCGCCGCACACGAAGCCGAGCGCCGACTGAAGTGGTACGAGCAACATAAAATCCGGACCACCACGCCGAGCCTATCCGAGTCGTATCGAAAATATCTCGAAGAAGAAGGAGCTTTTGCATCATTACCCAAAACCACGACGGACGCTCTCTTACCCTTATATATATCCACACTGAATGACCTTACTCCCATCACAGATGGCGCCGCCGTCTTCCGCGACCACAGTAACGGACAAGCATCCATCTACTTGGTCAGGGCGATATGCCTCGTCGTCTGCAAGACAAAACACGCAGCTCCTTTCTTAAGACTGACTGATTTCGGTCCCCTCTTGGAGCCACTAGAGTTTGCATCAAAGCTTCTAGCTGGACTAGATGCTGCCATCAAAGCAGACTTGGAACCTAACCGCATCGTTAAGATCCAGATCCTAGCACTGATGCACCTGCATAACGACGGATTAGCCGGCGTGGATCGCGCGTCCAGTTATCTGTCGCAGGCGATATGCGAAGCATGGTCAATGTGCATACACCTGAAGATACCTGGCAACCCTGACAACGACGAATGCAAGTATCTATGGTGGTCACTCCGGAACTTTGACCGCCTTGGTAAACCAATCATGGCAGCGGCACCCTTCTTTATCGACGACGCAGATATCGGTGTTGAACGTATAGAACCGAAGAGAGACGACTATCGCTCCCAAATCATGGCCGTCTCTCTCGCTCTTGGAGACCTCATGACTACCGCGACTAGAGCTTACAAAGCTGGCGCTACAACGGCGGTCGATAGTTGCTGGGAGTTTCCTTTGCTATCAGAAATTACGGGTGGGAGTAATTTCCATCAGTTCCACATGTCGCATCGAGGTAAGACACTTGCCGACTTGACTTTTCAATCTACTTAAAGCAGCAGCATACCTGGAAACATGGTATCATGTTGCCGCCATGCTATCCTGTCGCTACAGTGGACCAGACACCGAACAATACAACCGACGTCGTGCGTCCGCGGATAGAGTTCTCGAGATAGTCTCTCGTGAAGGATGCGAAGGCCTTCCTCCGCTCCCACTGGTTCCATATGCCATGTCCATGTCCACAACGGTCATCTACCGTGCTTTGCACGATCGTGTAAGAGACATTGGCAAAGCAAGAGAGGACCTTGGCCAATGCTGCGATGCCCTCGATGACCTGAGTGAACGATGGACCAGCGTAAGAGGCGTGGCCAAGCTTGCAAAACGGCTTTGCAGACTGATAAGCGACGGTGCACACGACAGCTTGCGAGACGCGCAGCGAGGTGGTACTACTACCACATCCAACAGCACAGTCTCAACTCTGGCTATACCAGCCAACAACGACGCTGTTACGGAACAGACAGGAGTTCTATATAGCGACGAGGCTTTCCAAAGATATCTCACTGACATCTGGCCAAGCTTCGATGCATCCTACTCTCAGTTAGATTGGGCTTTTCAGGACTATGGCTTGGACATGGAATTACCCAGTCCGTTCGATGATTTGCGATCTTGATAGGTTCAGCGTTCGACAAAGGACTCGTCGACAGCACAGTCGGAATGAGAACTCCAAAGCATTGCATAAGAAACTCATAAATTCGTTACTTTATCATCCTGCTCAAAGAGCCTGACCAACCGGTCTATTGCCTAAATACTCGCCATTTTGCGCATGCTCCACGCGAGGCGGACTATACGCAACATACTCTTGTTGCTGAACCCGCCCTTGTCCCTGTGTATTACTGCCTACATCGCCCAAGTTTAACCCATCTCTCTTGCCCGCATCCAACTCGCTGGGTGGCGGCATCTCTCTGCCGTCGATCTCCCAGACGTTGGCGCTGGTCGGCATCTCGTTGCTTTCTGGTATCTTGGAATCCATGTATTGGTGGTATTGTGCTGGTTTTTCGTCGGAGTATCGGGGTGCCGGAGTGGTACTGGTTAGAGAATGGCGTGCAGCGACGGCGCCGGCACCAGCTCCCATTGCTGCTGCGCCTCCAAAGGTTGATGTTGATGCCCATGGTGCCTGGCTTCCAGACTCCATAGGGGATACGGGAGACATCATTGTTGTTGGTTGTGTTGAAGACCTGTCGGTTTGCGTAGGAAGGGTATTAGTGGTAGAATACGTGTTTGGATGCGGAATATGTGTGTATGCGCTGTTTGTCGGCGGGGAGTGGTCAGACGAAGAAGATGCTGCGGGACTGGCCTCTTTGTCGTTCAGAACCGCGTTTCGGGATTTCTTCTTGCGGTGACGGAGGAGAAGGAGGACGAATATGCCAATTAGGGCCAGAGCTGCGACCCCTCCTACTACCACGCCAGCGATTAGACCTGTTGAGGGACCGGAACTTGAATCTGAGGATGATGCGCCTGCGGCAGCTGCACTCGATGACGTTGGTTCTTCCGATGCGGTGCTTGAAGCTGCGCCCGCAGTTGACGATGCCTCTGTTGCTATCGGTCCGGTGCTCCTCGCTGTACTGCTTGCCTCCTCTGTTGCACTCGTGGCTGTGATCTCAGCCGCAATGCTCGTAGGATTCGCAGGTGTTGGCAAAGCATTCACCACACTGCCTGCTACGCTCTCAATGACAGCCGTAGGCACTGTAACGCCATTGCTCGACAGCACTGACGAGACATCGCCAACGATGCTGGACAACAGGTCGCCAATCTGCCTCCGTTGACGCTGATGGTTCCTCCGTACTTGCTCCGCGCCAATGCTACCTGCCGCAAGACAATACTCGCTCGTATAACTCTCGGCGGTCGAACGATCCGGGTGCGATGTTGGATGCGACGCGTGATTGTCGAAGCATGAGACGCGCCATAGGTACTGTTCGCACAGGCACGTATAGTCGGGAATCGGGGTGGTATCGCAGGGAAAGTAGCCCTTAACGGCGGATATGCAGGAAGTTATTGCACTAGATTGGTCAATGTCAGTAAACTTCGCTCTTGTTGACCAATTCGCGATTGAGAATGCATAATTACATCTGTTCATGGTTCGCGCCCTGACCAGCCGAAACAATGGGCCATCGCAACGCCGGCACAAGCTTGAGCAGGACACCGAGCATCATCAGAAGCGTGGTTGACGGATGAACGGACCCGGTTGAAGCGACAGCACCATCAGCGCTTTAACGTACTAGCCAGACCTACTTTCATCAAGCTTGCGAAGTGGCGGTAACCGGGCGTTCGATTCGTTGATCCTGCACCGGCAGAAGCGGGGACACCGACCCATCTATGCAATGCTCTGTTCCGAGCACCCGTCTCGCGATAGGAAACCTGTTGGCCATCGATGATGTAGGTGTGGAGGTGCGGCTTACCTGTGGCTGGGTAAACCAGGGGATCCGTGAGGTTTAACTGGTGGGGGGAACTTTAGCCTCGTGCGCTAACGGGCTGCCCTGATGGCATCGCAACGTGGAGACCATGAGTTTGGGCATGATCAACGTTTGTGAGACGAGAACGCGTCGAGCTAGGATAATTGACGTGCGCAATTGTGCTACGAGCGTCGATGCACCGCCACACCTGTAGTGTTCTGGGCCCGCGTACTCTGTATAGAATGTGGATTTGTGATGCTTGGGGTATGGTAGAAAGTGAACTGCCGACTCCAGAATGATGCTCCGCTGAAAAGAAATGGGTATTGAAGCACTGCCACAACCGTCCTCCAGGCCCTGGAAGTGTCCATTGAGAGACATTCAATAGAATCTTACTTCCCGTTGGTACCATCACCGTGACCTTCCAACCGGTTTACCAACCTCTTGACGCCACTCCACTCCTCGCTACGTGTCTGGACACCTCCAAGATCATCGCCCACCTCGAAGATGGTGACGACGCCATCCATGCCTCCCACTGCAACTCTGCGCCCTTCGTTCCTCTCCCATGCCAACTTGTTCAGACTCCTGTTCATGTAGCCAAGACCAGTTGGCATGTTCGTAAACGCGCCACGCTTACCGTCACTGGGCTTGACCGATTGAACAGGAACCTCGACATCTACGTTGATATCCCAGACTTCGAGACTTCCCGCTCCGTCGACAAGCGCGAAAACGGAGGGTTTGACAGGCGACCATCGAACGTCATAAACGAGATCTTCGCGTGCAATGTCGAGAACGGGTGTTACTTGTTGCGTTGCACCAGGAAGTGTTGGGTTGGTAGCGCCTGTAGCAGCCGGCGGGCGGACCTTCCAAAGCTTGACGCTCCAGTCGACACTCGACGACAGAACAAGGTCCCCTAGATCGATCTGACCCTTGGCGGGATGGAAGTCTAGACTCATAACGGGCGCAGCATGGCCAGCGTACTTTACGCGGCCGTCTACACCTGCTTTCGCACCAGCTCGGTCATAGCGATGGCATGGGTAAATGGTACCCTCTTCTGTGCCTGCGAGGAAGTAAGTTGGATCCGATTGCGGGAAGGCTATGCTGGTCACTGCCATGTCGTCTGTCTTGGCTGGCGGTGGTGATGTCAATTCAAGGAACTCTTGGGGCTGTGAAAGCATGTCAACAGTCCATCCACACACAACACCATCCGTCGAACACGAGATGATGTTGTTTGCGTTCTGCGTTCCGACAATGTCTAACGAGTAGACGGGGTGTGTGTGACCGGAGCCAGTGAGCGGTGTCTTCTGCACTGGTGCGGACTTCGCGCGAGTGTCCCATAGCAGCACTTGCCCTGAGTAGGCGCCTCCAACAATGAGATTTGGGTGGAACGGGGAGAACTTTGCGGTAAGGATATCGGACTGCGCATGGAAGATGTACTCAGGCCGATCGTGCATGTGCAGGTTCCATACTTGTACGAGACCGTCAGGGTCGTGTGGCGCGGACGGGTTCTTGGTGTACGAGGCAAGGACGAGTTCTGGGAACTGTGAAGCATGTCAGTGTCATAATCGCCAGACGTCATTGCACTCCATACCTTTGTTGAGAAACCCAGATCTGAAATCATCCTCTTCTTGCTCCATCGCTCATCCCAGAACTGTGCAATTTCCTTGATGCGGCGACCCTTCTTGCCTCCACTTGAACCGTAACCCTCATCGTCGTCGTCGACGTCTACACCACCGTTTGCGTAGTCTGCCAAGATATCGTAGCCAAGTTGTTGGTCAAGCGCTCGCTCCAACACCTTCGTGCTGCGCTCGACGAAGCCGATGAACTCCTCCGAGTTTTCGACAGCCGTCAATTCTTCGTTTGTGAGGGTCTTGAACGGGAAGTTCTCTTCTGACCCTGGTTGTTGTGCACCCTCTTCGGGCGCTTGTTGCAGGACCTTGAGCTCCTCCTCGATTTCCTTGCGCAGCTGCGCTCGGATCTCCTCGTCCCTCTCCTTCTGTCTCCGGCTCAGCCTCTTGCTCTTGGGTGACCGCGTAGGGCTCTCGTCGCGCTCCGTGTCGCTTCCCCCAATACCTCGGTCTTTCGACGGGGTCCACTCTATGCTTGCTTGTACACCCTTGCTGTATGTGATGATCTCCTTCTCCTTCTTGACCTCGTTGGTGACCTGGCCATCGGCCTCGTAGACTGTCGCGAGCGGAGCCAGTGAGAGAGTCTGCATTTCTCGGTCAACCATGCCGGTGAGGGATGGGAAGCCCGTGGATCCTTCATTGTCGCTGCTCAGTTGGCCTGCGCTGACTACCGATGTCGGGCGGGTTGGTCGTCCTGCGCCTGCTGGGGAGCCAGGTTGTGTAGAACCGGGTCTACTCTCCCCAAGGATGCTATTGATGAGGTTGGTGACGTCGGTTCTGCGGTCGAGGTCTTCACTGCGTCTTGGTGTCGGCGAGAGGACCTGGAATGTTAGTCAGTCACTGATTAGATGGAATTGGATATGTAACCTACTTCTCCTAGAGGACTACCAGTCGCGGATTGCCTGCTGGCTGACTCGGCCTTCCTCAGTTCTCGCTGGCGCTTAAGCTCGGCCAACTTGGCTTTCTTTGCGAGAATCTCATCGCGCCGCTGCTGCATTGTCGACTCCATGGCGGAGACGTGCGAGGTGGGATGCTTGGTCGAGTATGTGTCGGCGCTGTAGTAGGAGACCTGAGCTGCGTCGTGTATCCAGAGGTTATTTCCTCCCCGCCTTCAACTATCCACAGACAAAGGCAAGTGCGATGTACACAAAGGCAGGCGCGTCGGGTGATGCTGTCGCGCCAAGCGGTGGTGGTTCAGGGACGCACTAGCTCGCAGCCAGCGATCCCGACCAAATCTTGCGCCAGCCAACCTCAACTTTCACAGCTCAACGCCCAACATCTCGCATCCGCCCCGACGCCCTCGTCCCGACTCTCCGGATCCCCTGCAGCGGTGACTTTTCATCGCCCGTCCGGAATACCTGCCATTGGACATATACGAGCTCGATAACGCCTATCGCAAGTCCTCGCACGACCCTCACCATGTCCACTTCCGTCGGTGTCAACGTACGCTCTGCCCCTCGAAGCGCTTGCCAAGGTCTCTAGCACGACCGTTTGGGCCTTCCGCTAGCTCTAGAGATGGAACAACCAGGCTAATAGTGGTATTTACAGGTCCTCCGATGGTCCGCCCTCGGATTCGGCGTCTTCTACGGTGCCTACCACCAGCTCTCATTATCCGCTGCCGATAGGGCAAAGGCCGCACAGAAGGACTGGGAGCACAAGGAGTCGTTGATCAGGCAAGCAAAGCAACAATGGGCACGGGACCACCCCTCAGAACAGCCAAAGTCATCAGGCGGTACGTCAGACCGACGACACATGTCAAAATTCCCAACTTGGCCATGTGTATGATACGGTAGAATATATACTAACAACCAAACAGCCATCGCCGACCCGAAAGACCCCAACGCCGACCTCAACACACTCCTCGGCATAACCGACAAATAAGCGCACACCCAGAGTGATTCCGTTTCCTACGTTAGCATGGGCATAATGCGGCCGGACCCCATCGAGCCGAGAGACGGCTGGGTGGGGGAGAGCAGTCAATAGTGGTACGACATCTACGAGATACCAATCTCTTGTACTATGTACCTTTTGTACAACATAGACGTCGAGTTGGTCACGTTTTCAATATACATGCTTCAGTTCGATCCTTCAATGCTCGTTCATATCTGAATCCTGTACGACCTCTTCGAAACTTGGCG